AAACTACTTGTGCTCCACAATGTCACAAGAGCGTCTTAATCATGTAGTTATTTAGCATACTCATAAAGAATTTACAGACGATTTATACATCGAGGACATTGCAAAGGAATTTGTTACATTTAATGAACATAGATGCCAATATTTTGGACAATATTAATTTCAGTACAATGATCAATTGTTAAATCATGCTCCTATGATTGCCAATAAATAATACCTTAGCCCCCCCAACTTTTAGTTTGTTCCTACCCCTATGCTTACCATAATCTCCTGTATTTCTTCCTTTCTCCTCCTTTCAACAGGATTACTTATCTCATCCTTATGACTGACTATTACAATAACATGGCATTCAATAAGAGCTTTCTGTGTTTCATTTCTCACAACTGTTAGCCACTGATGAAGCTGTTTGACTACTTCCTTCTCCAATATATTGACTACTATCAGGAACACACCACCAGAACCTTGTAACAGATTCTCAATGACAGCACTGTGACTGGAGTAGTATTCTGAATGACCAGCAGAATCATGAAGAATGATGTTACCCAGTGTCTTGTGTTGTAGTTTATAAGGAATGATGCCAGCAGTACAGGGCACTACCCCTCCAACATTTCTAAAGGAACCAAGAGCAATAGAGCCAGTAGCTGTGTCATTGATGACATGACTAAGAGTACTTTTACCAGCTCCAGGATTACCCACAAGGAAAACGTTAACATAAGAATCAATTGGATGAGATATTTTAATGTTACCAAACTTCTTGAAGATAGCAATGACAGTATCACTATTAAACTCTCTCTCTTTAGCTAGTTGTAATGGTGTCACACCATTAAGGTCTTTAGCCAAAGGATCACAATTACCAGTTGATAAAAAGAATTCAATAACTTCAGGTGTACCCCAGCAGGCAGCAACATGAAGAGGTGTCCATTCATTGTTATCAGCGGCCATTATATCACAGTTGCACTGGTTAATGAGGTACTTTACAACATCTATGTGTTCAACAGCACCATGGAGAACAGTCTGACCATTATTGTTATTAGTTATTGGATTATAAGGATGAGTATTGATGAGGTACTTCATGACAGCAAATGATCCTTCACTAGCTGCATCATGTAGAATAGTATTTCCATCCTTATCAGGAGTCATTATATCACAGTTATGTTCATTAATGAGGTACTTTACAACATCTATGTGTTTAACAGCACAATGAAGAACAGTCCGACCATTAGTATCACGATATTGTTCATTCATTATATGACCATTGATGTTCATGACCATACACTTCAAGACATCATATAATCCTTCACTAGCTACATAATGAAGAACAGGGGCACTGTCATACCTAGTAGTAGTATCTTTCATTGGATCACAGCCACACTGTTTAATAAGATATTCAACTATATCAATGTGATTACCTCTAGCAGCAGTATAAAGACAGGATTCACCACAGTAGTATTTATGTGGATCAAAACGGTAAATAGTGACGAGATCTCTTGTAACATCTAACCAGCCATTCCTTATAGAATAATAAAGCAGGTCAGGCTCAACCTGGTTAAGTAATTTAGGATCCTGTAAACCTAGCAACCGAACAGCTTCTTCATGATCTCTTCTTATAAATGCACTCCTACATGATGACAGAAGTTGCTGTCTATCCATTACGAGATCCATTACAGCGCTTTGC